GTAAATCAACCCAGGGTAATTACAACTGAGACCTAACTAAGGAGCTATGGGGACACATTCCCGAGTGACTCTTCCTTTGCCTTAGAAAACCGAACCATTTCCTGCTTTCTTACTGCTTTTAGTTAAAACCACAATCAATCGACTTAGTTTGCTATATAACAAATATACACAGAGTAGGCAGTAGATCTAGACCCCGGGTTGACAATTAGAGCTTGCCTGTTACTGCATTTCCGGACTGCGATTACACTTGGTCGCAGTTTGGTGTTGTGTTTTAGCGTGTCAAGTTTTTGGCGCCGTTGCCGGGGACCCTCTAGGTTATTGGGGAAATGTGAAAGTTTGTTACTCTAGCTTTTTCTTTACTGCATTTTCTCTCTTCCACCTGTGTGCCTTCACGGGTTGCTTTTGCTGATTGTGTGCAGGTAGTGCATGACCCGTAGCCAGTCGGGAGAATTACTACCATTAGACCAGGAGCTTAAACATACCTGTAGGAACTTCAAGCGGGCTCTAAAGGCGCGACTGGTTGCGGAGGAGGCGCTAGCACAGCTGTAAAACGCCGATGAAGAAGAGATGGCTGACCCACAGGACCATGATGTGGTCCTTCCCGAGGAGTAAACCATGGGGTACTACTGGACCGCCAGAGCCGCGGACATGAGGTCCCCCATTCAGAACCCTCATGTACCAGCAAACAACACTGAGGTGAGCACCTCGGTCATCACGATGTTGCGCGGCTCGGTAGTATTCTGTGGCAAAGAGGGGGAGTGCCCCCGAGCACATCTGAGGCGATTCCACGAGCTCATCGATGGAATCAAGATAAATGGGGTTCCAGCCGATGCCATCCAGCTGAGGTACTTCCCATTTACTCTGGAGGGGCATGCCAAGGAGTGGCTAGACACTCAACCTCCAGGCTCGATCACCACGTTCGCCAACCTGGCGGACAAGTTCCTCACTCGCTATCATCCCCCGTCCAAGACGGCGGACCTGCAGAAGCAAATTACCCACTTTGCTCAGGATGAAGATGAGACCATCTGGGATGCTTGGGAGAGATACACCAGTCTCTTCCTCAAGTGTCCCAACCATGGTTTTACTAACGCCTTCAAGGTGTGTACCTTCTACCATGCCCTCTACCCGGAAGACAAGCAGCTGATTGACTCGGTCTGTCGCGGGAATATGCTCACCAAAACACCACCACAGCTGAATCAACTTTTTGATGAGATGGCAGAGCAGGGCTATGATTGGGAGACTGCGAGGCGATCGAGACGAGCACCAGGGCGGGATGTGCATGCTGTAGCCACCCAGTCATCTGATTTGGTGCAGGTGGTGTCGAAGCTGGTTTCAGCCATTGATTGCTCTGGGATGATTGCAGGTACAGGACAGCAGCAGGTGATGCACTGCCAGTGGTGTGAGAGCTCCCATCACACCGTGGAGGACTGTCATGCGATGAGGGAGTCTTCTACTCCCCAGGAGCAGGTGGAATTCATCGGCAATGCCAGGCGCTTTGACCCCTACAGCAACACTTACAACGAGGGGTGGCGCCAGCATCCCAACTTCTCCTGGGTTGGGGCCATATCTAGACCACCACTCCCCAAGGGACCACCTGGCTTCCAGAGGCCTCCTTACCAGCCCAGACAAGGGCAATTTCAGCAGCCGTAGCAGCCACTCTACCCGCACAGATAGGGGCCAGTTCCACCTGAGTCACAGGTGCGGCCATTTCATCAGACAGGGGCAGCACCCGCAACCCTAGTACAGAGTGACCCGATGGCGGAATTGCGAGATTTGGTGGGTTCTCTGGCCACCTCCTGTGCAAACAAGTTCAATAACATCGAGCAGTTCATGTAGAAAGCTTTAGGTAAATTCTTGGAGCTAGAAGCTGGTCAGAGAAACACACAGGCTGTGTTGCGGGACATCCAGAATCAGCTTGGGAGTGTGGCCCAGGCTGTAGCTCAGAGGACTCCTGGTACTCTACCCGGTCGGACCATCCTCATCTGCAGGACCCAAATGAGCACTGCAAGGCCATCACTACCAGGAGTGGCAAGATGACTGCTGATCCACCTGTTCGGACACAAGAGAGAGAGAGACCCCTTCTTTAGCACTTCCAGCTAATGAGGAGGAAATGTAGAAGGAGGTTGAGGTGTCTGCTCCTAAACCACAGCCAGTGGTGAAGGAGTATGTACCGCAACTTCCCTTTCCTACTCAATTGCACAAAGGCCGACTGGAGACTGAGTTTGCCAAGTTCATGGCAATGCTGAAGTAGGTAAACATAAGCATGCCCTTCGTGGAGGCATTATCGAAGATGCCCAAGTATGCCAAGTTCATGAAGGATCTCCTCACCAACAAGAGGAAGTTTGGGGAGCTGTCAACGGTGATGCTCAACAAGGAGTGTTCTGCCATCCTGCAAAACAAACTACCAGAGAAGCAAAAAGACCCAGGGAATTTTACTATCCCTTGCATGATTGGTAGTTTGCATATAGGGAAGTCCTTGGCGGATTTAGGCGCTAGCATAAATGTCATGCCATATAAAATGTTTAAAAAGCTAGGCCTAGGTGAACCTAGTGATACTAGGATGAGCATTCAACTTGCTGATAGATCCATTGTGCATCCTAGGGGCATTGCAGAGGACTTGATAGTCGCAGTAGGGCCATTCTCGTATCCTGTTGACTTTGTGATTTTAGATATAAATGAGGAATAAGCATCATAGGATGTGCGGGTACTGACGATTTCCTCGAGCGTTGTCTTTTTCTAGGGGAATAAGCATCATAGGATGTGCAGCTGGAGGAGCAGCTCGCGGAGCTAGACGAGGCCGAAATCGAGGGGCGAGAGATACCATTAAAGTCGATCCCTATCTCGCCCAGGATCGCTACATCATTGGAGGAGCCGCCAGAGCTGGAGTTTAAGCCCCTCCCCTCTCACCTGGAGTATGCATTTCTCCGGGAGGGGAATAAGCTCCCGGTCATTATCAGCTCGGATCTTACACTCGAGCAGAAGAGCAGGCTGGTGGCTCTGCTGCAGAAGTATGCCCGGCCAAGGCGTGAAAGATCACAGATATCAGAGGCATTAGCCCATCCTTCTACTCCCACAGAATTCTTATGGAGGATGAGGTTAAGCCAGTCAGGCAGCCACAACGGAGATTGTCTCCCAACTTGGAGTCAGTGGTCCGGGCAGAGATTGTGAAGCTCATGGATGCAGGGATCATCTTTGCTATATCTGATAGCAAGTGGCTCAGTCCCACTAAGGTGACCCCGAAGAAAGTCGGGATGACTGTGGTCCCGAATGAGAAGAAAGAGTTGATCCCAATCCGGACCGTCTGGAGATTCTGCATTGATTACCGGCGCCTGAACGACGCCACCAGGAAAGATCATTTTCCCCTACCCTTCATTGATCAGATGTTGGAGAGGTTGGTTGGCCATGAGTTTCATTGCTTCTTAGAAGATTCCATTCGAGCTGTGTAATGCACCGGTGACCTTCCAGAGATGCATGCTGGTGATCTTCGACCGACTGGTTGGAGAGATCATGGAAGTCTTCATGGATGACTTCTCGGTTTATGGGGACTCCTTCACTCTTCTGAAGAGGTGCGAGGAGACTAATCTGGCACTCAGCTGGGAGAAGTGTCATTTTATGGTCCGTGAGGGGATTGTGCTCGGGCACAAGATCTCCAAGCAGGGGATTGAGGTGGATCGCGCGAAGATTGAGACGATCAGTCAGCTACCTCCTCCCATTTCTGTGAAGGGGATTCGCAGCTTCCTAGGTCATGTAGGCTTCTACCGGCGTTTCATTAAAGATTTCTCGAAGATTGCCCTGCCTCTAGCCAAGCTGCTGGAGAAGGATGCACCATTCCAGTTCACTCCTGAGTGCACAGCGGCATTCGAGACTTTGAAGGAGAAGCTTACCCATGCACCCATCATGGTGACTCCTGACTGGTCTCTTCCCTTTGAGCTGATGTGCGATGCGAGTGACTATGCAGTCGAAGCCGTTCTGGGTCAGAGACGCGGGAAGCACTTCCAGCCCATTTACTACGCGTCGAAGACCTTGAACGACGCATAGGAGAATTACACCACCACTAAGAAGGAGCTCCTCACTGTGGTGTATGCATTTGATAAGTTCCGACCATATCTGGTGCTCTCCCATGTGGTGGTCTACACAGTGTAATCAAAGGGTCCGATTTTAGGGATTGTAAGTTTGGGAAAGTAAAGCAGAAGAAGAAGAAGAAGAAGAAGAAGAGGGAAGAAGATCGAAAATGAAGGAGAAGTCCTTCGATGTTTTTCGTTCTGATTCTCCCCTTCAGTTTGGGCCTGATCTTCTCAAGCCCACTCGAAATCTATGAGCAGAAAGCCAACGTTGAGATAGGCTTGAGAATTGGTGAGCCCAGCCGAGGAGACCAATAGATAACATTTAGGTCTGTTTTCTTCCTTGGATCAAAATCCTTGGAAAACAGAGAATTGATATGGAAGATGATGTACGAAAAGAAAAGTGCAGAAATCTAAAGAACACACGATATTTTTAACGTGGTTCACCCTGGTGCAATGGGCTACGTCCACACCTACGACTCTATTTTTATTTTCTTTACGATCTAACTTACACATACAAAAGAAGCAAATTGAAACAAAGACTCAAAGAAAGAAATACTAGAAATAAGGTAGAATGACGAATAAGCAACCCAAATTCCAAACTCCGGAATTTGTATCAGCCACTAGCAAAGAACCTCTTCCCCTTTGCTAAACCCTTTTGTGTCGAAACCCTTTTCCGTTGTCTCACAAAAGTGCCTTGAGGTAATGCGATTCAGTCCCTTTTATAGATGAGGAGGTGAAGATTTGTGTGAGTTGGAAACACCTCGTCTTTCCTTATTTGCAACGCTTGATTTAGGGAGTGATTCTTGAGCTGATTATGTAATCAATCAGTTGATTGATTTTGACTTGATTTCCAAGCTTCTAGCGATGTTGATTTACTCCCAACGAGCTATTTTGTCGACTGTCTCTGATTTCCCAAATCTTTCTACAATCTCCCCTTAAATCAGAGATTGTCTATTGCCTGAAACAAAAGAAGACGACACTACCTTTCCTCTTCTCAAGGAGTTAGTTTTTAACAAATGAAATAGTTATTTCAGCAACCACATCTCTTTAAGAAGCACAATTAATCCACATAGAGGAAAATAGAGTTTATCATAAAGAACAAGGCCGACACAGCTTTAACCGAAGCAATCATAATAAACCGAAGCAATCATAGTCTATCACAAAATTAAAGCCGACAACCATAAGACTAGCTAAACAACCAAACTAAGTTAAACATCATCACTAGTGTTGTTGTTGGTGTCACTGCTCTCACTGGAACTAACACTAGTGCTGCTGTCGACTTCTTCCTTGACAGTGTCCTCGTCTCCACTGTTGTCGTCAAGAGGTTCCTCCCCTTCAATCGCAATCTCCAGAGTTTCAAGAATATCCGCAGCCACAGGGGAGAACACAGGATTGAAAGTGATATAGGATGACAGGTTTATCTCAAGGTGAACGAGAATGGTCGACACAAGGGGACCGAAAGGCAGAGCTTCACCTAGGACAGGTTCAGTAAATCGCAGTAGGGACCCAAAAAATAAGTGAAAGTAATTCAGAGGGGTACCATGGACAGCATTCGAGATGATCCAAAGATCGAGAGGGAGAATAGTCGTAACAAAGTGATCTCTGGGAAGAAAGACTCGAACAATGTAATAGTGGAGGAGACGAAGGGGTGGGGGAAGGACAGTGATAGGTAAAGTGTTATTTAGTTCTGGAGGATGGCCAGTAGTAGCAAGAAATTCCTCAGCAATGTTGAAAGCAAACAGGGGAAATTCGGACTCATCGGCTAAAGTAGCCCCATGAACAGGAATATGCAAGAGCATGCTGAGATCATCAATATGAATAGCGAAGGCATGGCCAAAGACCAGAGAGTGAAAGGAACGAGATGACAGTCCAGGGGATTGAAGATTGGAGTAGAACAATTGAATAATTTCAGGGCAGAACGAGGTCGTTAGAGGAGCATCAAGGAAAGGGGTCCAACCAAGGTTCTGAACATAGGGAGTAATATCAAGGCCAGCTTCTACTAATGCAGGGAATGGCACAAGACAGAAGGAAATCAAGGGGCGATTGATAAAAAACTGGATGTGACGATGATAGTTTGAGATGATAGGCTTAAGGAACAATGTACCCGTGTATGTGATGATGAGTACCATTGTAAAACCAGACAGAGACGGAGCAGATGGAGAGTACACGGAATTTACCTAGGGTTGGGTATTAAATAAACACGACACACTCAATCAAGGAAACTATTAAACAAGAAGAAAACTATCACACAAAAAGAAGGTAATAAATGAAGATCAGAACATGAAGAAAAATAAATAATAATAAAAAAACTAAAAAGGAAGAACAGCTTAGCGAATAATGCTCTCGGAGAGAGCCTGATGGGAGCGAAGCCCAAGTTCATAGCACAAGAAGATGAATCGATCAGCAGGGAGAGATTTTGTAAAAATATCCGCCAGTTGAAATTCAGTAGGAATATGATGGAGAGCAACAGTTTGAGCTTGGACTAGATCCCGGATGAAATGGTATTTCACTTCTATATGTTTGGTTCTAGAATGTTGCACGGGATTTTTAGTAATGCAGATGGCACTGGTGTTATCACAAAACAAAGGCATGATTAATGTTTTTATACCATAATCGGCTAGCTGATTTTTTAACCAAAGAAGCTGAGTGCATGAGCTACCAACTGCTATATATTCTGCCTCAGCTGTGGATAAAGCCACTGCACTTTGCTTCTTACTAGACCATGAAACCAGAGAGGTTCCTACAAACTGACAACTACCAGTGGTGCTACGACGATCAGTAAGACTACCAGCAAAATCAGAATCACTGTAGCCTAATAGATCAAAGCGATCATGCCGGGGATACCATAGACCTACATCAGATGTGCCTTTAATATACCTAAAAATGCGCTTTAAGGCAGCTAAATGATTTTCTTTGAGTGTTGATTGAAACCGAGCACATAGACAAACAGAGAAGAGGATGTCAGGTCGACTGGCAGTAAGATAGAGTAAAGAACCTATCATGCCCCTATACTGAGACTCATTTACCGGGTTTCCTATCTCATCCTGACAAAGCTGCTTAGTAGTAGCCATCGGTGTAGAGCTAGGATTTAGGGAGTTGAAGCCAAATTTACTAAGCATGGAGGAGATGTACTTAGATTGATTAATAAAAATACCTTCACTAGTTTGTTTTATTTGTAGACCTAGGAAGAATTGTAGCTCACCCATCATGCTCATCTCAAAAACACTTTTCATAGAAGCACAGAAATCAGAACATAGTTGATCATTGGTTGATCCAAAAACAATGTCATCGACATAAGAAGATCACTAGAAACACGTTTAATAAACAAAGTTTTGTCTACGGATCCTTGCTCAAAGCCTTGACTTAGTAAGAACGACGTGACTCGGTCATACCAAGCACGAGGAGCTTGCTTAAGGCCGTAGAGAGCTTTATTTAGTTAAAAAACGTAGTTTGGGTGTTCATGACTTACAAAACCAGGGGGCTGGGTTACATAGACATCTTCTTCTATGATACCATTTAAGAAGGCACTCTTAACATCCATCTGATATAATTTAAAGTTCATATAACTAGCAAAAGCACAGAGAAGACGGATTGATTCGAGACGAGCAACAGGTGCAAATGTCTCATCATAGTCAATCCCTTCTTCTTGTGAGTATCCTTGAGCAACTAAACGAGCTTTATGACGGATTATTATACCTTCTTCATCAGTTTTATTCCGAAAAACCCATTTTGTTCCTAAAGGAGTCACAGTATCAGGACATGGAACTAGATCCCACACATGAAGATGTTCAAATTGAATCAATTCTTCAATCATAGCAAAAGACCATTCATCATCTTTCAGGGCTTCCTTATAATTTCTAGGTTCATGTTGAGAAACAAAGACGTATTGGCCAGGAGTGTACTTACCTCGAGTTCTGACCCCATATGTTATTTGGCCAATGACCTGACTTGTGGGATATCGTTTCGTGATGTGTGCTGGAGCCGTCAGAGTGTCTTTCAGATCCAGATTGTGAGTGTCAAGTTCTGGATCACACGAGTGGACTTCGAGAGAGTCTTCGGATGCAGTAGGGAGTGGTGTAGGGATCTCTTGATGTATGTCTACCTCAGAATTGACAATTGTTGCAGGAGTCGAGGAGTCAGCATCTGTAGGTTGAGTCGTGGCCGATGCATTTGATGAATTTGTCATCTCTGCAAAGTCAAATACTTCCATATCTGGGTTGCTAGGCTGCAAAGCTACATTAGTATCATCAAAGGTTACATGCACAGTTTCCTCAACCCGTTGAGTCCTTTTATTAAACACCCTATAAGCTTGACCTTTAATAGAGTATCCAAGAAAAATTCCTTCATCAGACTTGGCATCGAATTTGCCTAAGTTGTCCTTGGTATTCAAACAATAGCAGCGACAACCGAAGGGATGAAAGTAAGAAATGCTTGGTTTCTTGCCTTTAAAGATTTGATAAGGTGTCTTATTTAAGTGCTTACGAATTAAAACTCGATTTCATATATAGCATGCTGTGCTAACTGTTTCTGCCCAAAAATATTTAGGTAACCCATATTCAAGAAGCATGGTTCTAGCACATTCAATTAGGGTACGGTTTTTTCTTTCTACAACCCCATTTTGTTGAGGTGTACGAGGAGCAGAGAAGGTATGATGAATGCCTAAGGAATCACATAAGCTTTCAAATTCATTTGAGATAAATTCTCCGCCATTATCACTTTTGATGGTTGAAATTTTCTTATCAAAAGTAAGAGTAAAAGTTTGAAATTTTGAAAAGGTTTCACTCTTATGCCCAAGAAAATACACCCAAGGATATCGAGAAAAGTCATCAACAAGCACAAATGCATAATTCTTACCTCCTAGACTAGAAACATTGCAAGGACCAAAGAGATCCATATGGATCAGTTCAAAAACTGCAGAGGTTGTAATTTCAGATTTTGGTTTGAAGGTTCGTTTAGTGTGTTTGCCTTGAACACAAATATGGCAGAAAAAATCTGATTTGTCTTTTAATAAAGGAATACCACGAACTAATTCAGATTTAGACAGACGAGATAGTATGGATAGACTAACATGTCCCAACTTACGATGCCAAAGGAGTTCTAAATGTGATGCAGCCACAAAACATATTTCACCGGATGATCCTAATTTCTGGAAATTAATAACATACATGTTATTCTGCCGTTTTCCAACAAACAAAGTTTTGTGATCTTGTGAGTTTTCAACGACACAATGAGATGCTTCAAAAACCACTTTATATCCACTACTACATAACTGACTTATTGAGAGTAAGTTATGTTTTAGACCCTCGACCAGTAAAACGTTATGAATGACAGGAAAGGGTTCTCGGCCAATAGTACCATGACCAATGATATTTCCAGAACTATCATCACCAAAGATAACCTTACCACCGTTTCTAGGGGATAGAGAAGAGAACAACTGCTTTGTGCCAGTCATGTGATGGGAGCACCCACTATCCATATACCAGTGAGGCTCATCATTCATGTCTGAGTTAAATGTTGTTGTTTTGAAGGCAAGTTCAGCAGAAGAGCGATCAGAGTTACCTTCTACATTCATGGCAAAGGCCATAAATGCTTCCTCGTCTACCTGATCATCGTCTGACTCAGAGTTGTAGTCACTCCAAGAGGCCATCATGGCTTTTTCTTTGGCTTTGAGTGTGAGAGGACAATGTGCACGGATATGGCCTGGTTGGCCACACTTGTAGCAGCCTTGTGGTTCCTTACCCGAAGTACCTGCATCCACATCTCTGGTCTGCCAAGACGGCAGCCTATCCTTGAAACCAGGGTGAGTTCTATCAGTTCTATCCTGACTAGTGAATTTTCCGGAGGTGGTGTTGAACCGTTTTTGCTCATTCTTATGTTTAATTATTCGTTGAAGGCTCTTACTAAGAAAGGCTATTTCCTTATCAATATCAAGAAACGAATCATCTTCAGAGTCATCCTGATAGGCTCTAGTTTGAAAAGCGAGACTTTTCTGCCTCTTATCTTCACCATGAACTTGTCTAACAACATGCTCATGGCTCAATAATGAACCAATCAATTCATCAACTGGTAAAGTATTTAGATTTTGCGCCTCCTCGACTACAGTTCTTTTAGGTAACCATTCCTTAGGTAATGAACGAAGAATCTTTCGATTTATATCCTTACTTACGAAAGATTTTCCTAAACCCTTTAATTTGTTTAGAATGATAGTAAAGCGAGAATACATGGATTGAATATCCTCACCTGGGTTCATGGCGAATGTCTCGTACTCGTGCATGAGGAGATCGATGCGTGTCTCCTTGATGTTCGAGGTTCCTTGGTATGTCTTCTCAAGGGCAATCCAGATCTCCTGAGCCGTGTCGCAGTGCTCGATCTTATCCGCCTCAGTCGCTGCCATGGCCGAGTGAAGAATATGCATCACCCTTTTGTTTAGCGGGGCGCTTTTCTTCTGAGCATCATTCCAGGTGGATCGTTGGGCAAGAACCATGGAAAGAGGACCATCGCTTAACACCGACCAGAGAGCTTCATCGACTCCCCAAAGGAAAGTTTACATGCGGCGTTTCCAGGAGGTGTAATTCGTTCCTGTGAATAAAGGCGGATGATTGTATGATGCATGACCAAAGACAGAGGATCCCATGATCGATTCCCTTGGCAGTATGTAGCTCAATCAAGGGATTGGCTCTGATACCAATTGTAATCAAAGGTTCCGATTTTAGGGATTGTAAGTTTGGGAAAGTAAAGCAGAAGAAGAAAAGGGAAGAAGATCGAAAATGAAGGAGAAGTCCTTCGATGTTTTTCGTTCTGATTCTCCCCTTCAGTTTGGGCCTGATCTTCTCAAGCCCACTCGAAATCTATGAGCAGAAAGCCAACGTTGAGATAGGCTTGAGAATTGGTGAGCCCAGCCGAGGAGACCAATAGAGAACACT